GTCTCTTCCAATCCCTAACATTCTGTGATTTATAAATCATGCAGTAGTTTCAGATGAATTTTACATCTGCGTTAAATTTTAAACTTTAAATAATTGTCTCCATTGAGACTGTCATGGTCCTTATTTTCCTCTAGCAACAGTATTCTACAACTAAATTACCTTGCAAAGAGTTTCAGGGGAAAGTACACATATGAAAGAGACTATATGCTAGCTGGGTATGTCTTCTGGTGCTTTAGGGAGACCTGCTCTTAAAGAGTACTATGGCTAGAGTCATTAAGTTTTAGATGCTAAACACAAAATTACCTTGTTTTCTTTTTGGTATCTCTCTTATCTCTGGTAAAAATATCCCATTTCCAGCTCTCCTGGGTCATGAAATAATTTGCAACTTCTCAGCAGCCTCAACTTCTTTAAAGACACTATTTTTTGTCTTCTTTTGGTCTTTTTTGTTTTCATAAATTACATTTCAAGGGAGAGCTGGCTTTCAGAAAAATATTTTAAAAACCCAGATAGCTATTGTAATAATGAATATAAACACAAAACTAATTGGTACCATGGCATGGATCTGTTTGCACAGAACTTGATGTATACTGGCTGCTTAACCTTAACTGGCTTAACTGGCTGTCTTACCCTTTCAGTACTGACTATTGCCTGTCCACCCACAGTCACTAAATCATGTTGTGCAATGCTTTATACTTGAGCAAGCTGGTCTATGGAGTGGGAGGTGGAAGTTCAACTGCAGCTCCTTCTTGAGCTAGTACTGATGTGGGGGGATGCACATCTCCCATGACAAATCACTGTTTGTTAATCCAATTACTCTGCCAGTTTAATCACTCTGTGTAGATCATTTTTTGCAGAATGACTCCTGCTAGTGAAAGAAATCTAAAATTACTAATCTCAATTGAGTAAACTAACTCCAACTGCTGAAATTAAGTCTTCAGATAGCAGTGATGACCATTTAAATACAAAACATAAATTGCTGAAGAAATGTAAAGGTAAAGCAAGTATCATGATATGAGTATCTGAATCACCACTAGTAGTTATGACTTCTGGATAGGCCTATGGCAGCTGGCTTAAAGGGGGCTGATAAAGAGCAACTGATTTCATCTCTTGCTAGGACAAGAGTTAGAAAAATGCAGTTTTAGTTTCTCACAGGCTACCTCTTCTTGAGTGTCTTGGAAAATGTTTAGAATCTGATGTGTACCCTGGTAAACAAATAATTCTGAGGCTCAGCTGTGTGATTTGTTCTTTTAAAGCTTTTAACGCCTTTATTTTGACAGAACATTCTCTGTTTCACTGTCTCTGCTTCCTTTAAGCTCACTTTATTTTGATTTTGCCTGTGAAACTAGGATTTTGAGCTTCGCTCTTCACTTACTGATTTATTGCATTAGTTTCCTAGGAGACCAGGTATAGCTACGTTGTTCTTCATAGTGGAAGTCAAATAATTCTTTAGCTATCTAATCCTCCTTGGAATTTAGAACACAGAATACAGTAGCATATGATTTTTTGTGAAATCTGGAAGCTTCAAAATTTTTTGTAAACTATAGACTTGAGTTTCAAATGGTAGCATGTATTGCCTCAGGTCTATATGGAGATCATGCATTATTAAACCTAATGGTGTATCAGGCTCAGTACTCAGCTATTCTGGCGTATGGACTTCTCAGGGATAGTCTGGAATTTCACTTCACTCTTAAACAAGCAAATCTGTGACTTACTTTTGACAAGTACAAGATTGTATCAACCATGTCCTGTTGCTTGAGAGCTGACTTGAATTGTTTTTCGGCTTCACGATATAATCCTAACCTAAAGAGACAACAGATAGATATAGAAGGTATTTTGTTGTTGTTTGTTTTTATTTTGTTTTGGGTTTTTTTAAAAAAAACCCCTTATTAAATAATGAAGCAGTGCACACTAAACCAAACATGAACTGCCCAAAAGCATACTTTAAGGTCATATATTTGTGTGCGTGTTAACAAAAACCCATGCTGCTAAATATATTTATGTTACAAAGACAACTATTCAAAGTTATGAAAAAGGCAAATTTATTAACTTTGCCCCCCTTTTGTATATGTGGCCTTCTGGTGCTAATTCAATAATTATGCACCCATTTTCATAGGACTCCTTCATGCTCTCTGTACAGAATGGACAGTAGAAAATGAGCAATTAAAGTCATGCCTCAGCCTCTACCCACACAGTTTCCAAGCAGAATTTCCTCCCTCATGGCATAGATCATGTAGATACTCCACTGTAAAGTTTAGGGAATGTTTTATCATGCATAAAACACCTTCTCCTAGCCTCCTGGTGAAGAGTCTAGGAAACCATAAAGGCTATGGTGAAACTTCTGTTGCTGATATTAAAAATGTTTAACTGCATGTTGAAAACATGCTGTACTGTAAGCAGCACCACAGCTAAAGAACGTCCAAGCAGGTGACTTGGGAGGGGGCAGTATATGGCACAGGAACCTCACAGAAGTCTGTTTCATCTCAAAAGCATTTGTTTTGCAGTACTACTACAGAATATTTTGAAGTAACTTATAAATGCTATATAGACTGCAAAATTAAGAGGATTGTATCATTTCAACAACAGCAAAAGGTACACTTTCTCAAACACAAATTGCCTTCTCTTTCCTTCAGCCAAAGAGCACAGATACTTGGTGAAGAAACACAAAACACAGCCAGAATAAGCCAGCTAAAGCAAAGAAACACAGCCAATGGGGACATAAGATAATTTTGGATCCTGGAAGTACATGTGCCTGCTTGGATGGTTTAGCCTCTATAACACTATTCATAAAAATCCTGAAAGTGATAAATGACCTCTAAGCTAAAAAAAAAAAAAATAAAAAATAATTTTTTTAAAAAAATCAGTTCAATCTTCTAAAGAATGTTAAATAAAGGTTAAGGATAGTGAAAAATATCATTAGCTTGAGCATCTAAAAAGAAACAATAGTTTCAAGCCAAGATACAATATAGAATTTTAAAGGAATAACTACTTTGTATTATCAGTCTGTTCATACAAGAATTACTTACAGAATTGTAAAGACCGCAGATGATGCTTCAGTTTTTTAACAATCAATACAGTACCCATATGTTTTACATCAATGGGACAAAAACGTTGTAAAGAATGAAAGGGGGAGTTGCTTCAGTACTTGTCTGAATTATGGGAAGTGGGGCTGTATTGAGGAGTTTCACCTGATTTGGTAGACCTGGCTGTTACAGTCATAGCTAGATCCTCAGCAACCACTCTAACCTCCTTGCAACAAGCTCTCCTCCCTGCTGTTGCCACTCTTTAAAAAACTCTTTCCTCAGAGAGGCATATTGCTGCACAGTGTTGGGGTACACCTACGTCGGTGGTATCAGATGCTGGGGAAGGGGTGCCAGCCCTGAGGCCTTGCATCTTTGGAACCGGTACTTCTTGGGCAATGTACCTCTGGCAGAAAGTGTCTACATCAATCTGAAGCCCTCACTGACACTAATTTCTCCAGCTAATACTGCAATATCCATTTTGTGTGGTCATTTTTAACAACAGTTCTTTGCATTTATTTACTGACTTTTCAAACAATGACTTTGAAACACATTATCAAAAGTGAAGATGCAACTATTTCAGTTAATTAAAGGTACTCGATGTTGATGTCTCAAGCAGTTGAACATAACCTTCTGTATTAAAGGAGATTTAACTGTAAGCACAGTGCTCTCCAACTAAATACTTACTGAACTATTTCTCAGTGTTCAGTATTGCACAGTACACCCAGCAGTTCAGGTCCTGCACTCATATTTACAATCACAGAAGAAATGAACAACAGCTTACCTATAGTAGCACTTCCCAATTTGGACTTTCCACCACCAGTCCTTGAACTGTGCGTGCTCAGTGGCAAGGGCTGCCAAATCTAAAGCCTTCCAAAACAAACCCATCATCTTAACATTAATACCTTCAATGTTTACACAAAGAAAAAGAATACAAAGTGAATAACGCAAAGATTTTCATAAAGAGAAAATTTTGAATAAAAAGTCCTGGTAAACTTGAGGTGGGGGCACTGCTTTATGTTTACTATTTTTATAGCTAAGTGCATAAAGTAGCTAAAAGGATAATTTGTCCCTATGAGAACATGTAATCCAAATAGCTTCTAGTAATTCAAAGAGAAAATATAAAATTAATTTGATCAGACTCCTGAAGTGCTGCTTCAGGGTGTATAGAATATTTGTGTACACTGACACATTTTTTCCAAGTTTCCCATCCTTGTTCACTAAAAGTTGTAAAAAACAAGTAAAAATATACTAAAAGAAAGAAAGCAGTGCAGCCAGTTTGAAATACTGTAGAAACTGTCATCTCATTACTAATATCAGGCTGCCTCCACTTTTGGGAACTCTCAGATGTGTAAAGTAAGAAATAATTCTTCCTTTAAAAAGTCTATTACATAATTATTTTATGACAGGAAAAATAGATACATAGTCTAAGAAACAGTTATCTAAGAGGGTGGAGGACTAGTATCTCTTTTATCTGGTATATTGGAAGCAGGTATGCTAATGAATGTGCTACCATCAGCCACCACAGACAGAATCTATGGCTTTCAGTGTTATAGCTATAATTTCAACATTTCTGTTAAGACAAATAGATGTGTGTTCTGTACCAAAACCTACCAAAGAAGCAATTGTTAGTGTTCCTTTTTTTAAAAAATTCCATTTTTTCTCAGAACATATCAAAGCCATGCTACATTTGTCACTTATATTTTAGGGATATAATAAAAAATAGTCTAAAAAGCTTTAATACAGTATTTTTGTAACAAAGAACGGACCCTTTTTTTGTTTTCATAAACATTTTTCAGACCACAGAAATCAGAAACCAGCTGTCTATTAGGAATAATATGGAAGTTCTGTACACTCATCACTCAGTAGCAGACAGATTAATCATTTCCAGAAAAAAAAAATATCTGAATACTTGAAATACTATAAAGAGCCTAACTGAGTGACATCTACCTCTGTGTTTGACTCCTGTTCTTCCTGCTAGCAAAATGAGGCTGCAAGTAATCAGTGGGTGTAGATTTGACATAGCACAGCAAAGTCAGGGGAGCTATGACAACTTAGACTAAGCTGCTCTCTCTTGGATCTGTGAGAAAGAATAATTTGTTTTCTGTAGCAATTCAGGCTAAGGAGTTGCACTGATGCTGTCCTCAAAGAGAGACAGTTGTCATTCCCTGCCTCTGTGACAGGAGTGAGAAAACTGAGGAAGGCTTCCAACTCTGAAGTCACTATTTCTTCCAGGCAGGTGGAATCCGTGAAGACCTCAGATGGCAGCTCTTACCTTGGTTGCCCTTTCTTAATGTCTTTGCAACTTGCACAATTGGGCCTCTGGACTTACAGCTATAATGGGGAAGAAGCGTGCTTCAAGACAGAAATGAACGGTTTCCCTTCCAGACAAATACTTTATTTTGTCTGAAAGTATATAAGTAATTTTGTCCCATACTGGGAAAATTTGGGATAGTTTACGTTAGAACATTGGTTATTTTTGTTGCATTTACAAATGTAAAAACAATGAGTGTGTCTGTCAAATACCACACCTGCTTCTAAGGCAGCATTAGCAGCCACTTCAAATGAGTAAGGACTATACTGCAAATAATGAACTTCAAAGAGCTCTCCTTAAAGTGCTCTGATGACATTCAAGGAAAAGGACTGAATTTCAAAAAGTGATCCCTTCTTTAGCTACACATTCAGTTTTCTTTATGGTACCCTAATTATTTCTGATAACTATTTTATGTAAGGCTAACAATTCTGTCATTGGAAAGTGGGAACTAAGACTGCTTCAGGCTTAGTAGACACTAACATCAGCAGTTTATCTGTTGGTGCAGATCCTGAACTCTTACTGGGATCTTATTACTAGCACCAAGAAACAATACATGACTTCATTTTGAAGTTAGTTTCTGAAATGAAGTCCTGTTTTTACACTTTCTTATTAAGGAAGTAGGAAAGTAGTAGGAAAATCCTGGTTTTGATACTTTACAAGCAATCACAAAAACTTTAATTCAAAAATATTACAAATGTTACCTGAAAAGGCTTTGTGCATATGAATGTCAGTTTTTTCCATGCTAGTAGTTAGACTTTCTGCTGGTATTACAACAAAATCTTTTGACAATGTGGCCTTTGAAATGCTAGTAAATTGATTAAAATAGACTTTTAAAAGTCAAAGCTTCACCTTGTCATGTCAATATCAACTGCTAGCATATTTCCATTTCAGTTTGCTGCAAACTTTTTTTTAAACTTTAATTGTACAGTTTAGGTACAAATCAATGTTCAGTCTGCACACTATGTTAATTTTAAACCAATCTATAATAGCAGTAGTAAGTGCTATGCCTGTCCTGCACTCCTGTGCATTGCTGAATGTTGGTGCAGTTGTATTAATAACTAGATGGGAAACCCAGCATGGATCGTGGATTGGTAGATCCTGGTATGTCCTATTAAGGACTTTTGGCTCTAATGTACATGTCAGAAAAAACCCCACACTGATTGTCACAAAAAAATTTAATAAACCTTAGGATATAACTCCTCATCTGCAAATTATTGTCAGTTGACATTGTTACTCTATAGGGCACCTTACGTAGTTACTCATGTATGCAGGAGTCCATTTCAGTAACAGTCTTAGCCCTGGGAAACCTTTCGGAACAAATTTATTTCACCCTCACGTCTTACATTTGTGCAAATAAAAATAATAAACACCTTCATACTTAGTGGGTTTCTATTAAAAAAAATTCTTAGAGAATGAATCAGAGCTGGTTTTAAACGAAAAATAATGTAGATTCTTTAATTGTAACTGTATATAGATTGATTCCGAGATTCTTTTTTTTTAGTATTACTTTCCTTAGCTAAACTCTGTTATAACTAAGACTCCCAAATTGTCTGCCAGTCCTAACTCAGTATAAAAAAGTTTGTGGGGTTGTATTAAAAAATTAAAATTATTGTATTAAAAAATTAAACTGGCAAACATACATTTGTTTGAAACTTAGTAATTTCATAAATAGTATTGTATGCATGAAGAAATTAGGTGGAAACAATAGTAAGTCTGCTGCTTCTTTCATGTGCTACTGAATGGCAGTAGTTCTCCCAGGAACAGCTATTGACTTATTTGTACACAAATCAACACAGGACAGTCTGTAAGACAGCTGAGTAAATGACATTAACCATTGTCAATTTAACACAATTTTTTTTGTTGAGTGTCTCCCAGATTTCTGTAGTTTGTAAATCTAACATAATTCCATTATAAATAGATTTCTATCAGAGAGTATAAACTTCAGAGTATTAGGAACAACTAGGGACATATCAGAGGACATGACTTCTGGCCCCAACTATATATTGTACACTCATTGTTCTCCCTCAGGACAAAGTGTCTTGTCATCACTACCCACTTGTGAAAATAGCAGAATACAATGTCACAGTCTATTGCTGAAAAAAGTAGCAGCTGAACTATTTCTGGACAATTCTTTTAAACTGCCCCACTCATACAGCATTTAGCCCATAAAATGGCTTTTAGAAATAGCTCAAGGGGTACAGAAAGTCAGTTATTAAGTATATGTGATCAAAAGGAAACAAGTCAAGAACTATAAGGGATAGGGTAACAGTAATTTCAGAGAAGAGTTTAATTTTTCATTAAATAAGATTAAAGACTTTTGAATACATTTTCAAGTGCTGAAAAAGCTCAGTGCTTCTCTCATCTCCTTGCATCCCCATGTTTCTGATAATTGACAGATTACAGATGTATTTACTTTTAATTTGAACCAAGCTCCTAGCATTATTTGTCCAGTGGAATGCACACTGATTAATGATATTTTCCAACTGAAATTGCTGAGGCGCTTTTTTTTTTCTATATACTAGCTGAATACCAAACAGAAGATAAATAATAAAACTGCCTTTGCTTCTTAAATAATAATGCAGTTGAAAACAGTACAGACTATTCCAGATCAGCACAGTGATAGGAAAAGGAAAGATATTGTCACTACTACTATCATGTTTTATTTGCAAAATTGCAGGAATTGGTCTTCCAATTCTATGATGCAGAAAGTCCACAAGTGGAGGCTTTTGAGTCTATACAGTCACAAACTTGAGGCAGTTTCCCAGGCTTCCAAGCCTTCCAAGGTCTTTCACCTCATGTCATGCAGAAAAGTGTTTTGTTTTGGGTTTGTTTTTTTTCAGAGTGTGCTACATGATATGTAGCAGGTAATACAAAGATGCAAGAGATGTCAGTGAATGTTCTAATGGGTGATCAAGTACGATCCAGATCAACTTCTAAAAAGTTAACATATATATGCTGTTTCTCTGCTGAATCCTAAGTGACCACATTCTTTCCAGGGAGGAGCAAGAAAATGAATTAGTGAAATACCATTGGTAGGAGAGCTGAATAAACAGTGATGAAGCCAAGTTTAAGCGGAAGTTAAAAGTATTACTTTTTTATTTAAGAAAAATTAATGCAGATGATGTTCAAAAGGAAGGGACAACAGTCTGTAGAACAGAATTATATTGAAAATGCTGTAGTAAGTGCACAGGAAAAGAAGAATGAAAGCAAATGAGAGAAAGCAAACTGAACAGTTAAAAAATATCTCTTCAGAGGTACATATTAAATTATAAAGGTGCCTCATACTGTGAAGTGTGACATATTTTTTTGTCCTCCAAGATGCTATCATTAACCAAATACGTTGATCTCTCTCTCATTACACAATAAACAGTGGTGACTAAGCTGGCACTTCTATGCTTACGGATATTTATTCAAACAGCTAGTGTGCACAGAAAACCCATAAGCAGAACTTTTCCTGCAAGACAGTGATTCAGGATTTTCAGCAAGGATTTCAAAATAGAAAAAACATTGTGTACTGCATGTAGCATGCTTGAAAAATTCCTTGCATTATATTAAATTATCTGCCTAGCCTAGAGATCCTGCATGTCCTTAAAAGTGTAGGTCACAGGCACATGTGGCATATTATCAAATGGTCCTTTTATTCTTAGTGAAGTGAGTGAGTTCTCAGTAACAAACAACATAAATTTTAATTATGAGTGGCATAAAACCTCAGCACTTTCTTAATATTCAGTATCAGAATATGTAAATGTGAAATACTTTCTCTCTGACACTTCTGACACTTGCACTTACTGTTTCAACCATATGTTAGATTAATAGTGCATTGCAATTCAATCCTCTTCAAAGCATGCTATGTAATAAATTGACAGTGTACAACTATAAGCATTTTATACTAGATTAAAAAGCTTCACATAGCAGTACATTTGGAAATGGTTCTCATCTATGTCAACAACAACAAAATATTTTTTGTGTGTTATTGATTAACTGGGGAGTTCAACTTCAGATCTAATCACATACCAGTCAGTAGTACTGCATAAAATTCAATAACTGTTTAAGTCAGCTATGCATTATTGACACAAACAGCTCTTTCAAACAAACTTCAAGCAGAAATTTTGAGTCCATTTCAACTGAGTGCATATACCTAACATAGTAATGAAATATTCTGACACTTTATTAATTGAATAATTTCCTTGGGTGAATTGCCAAAAAAGTCTGCAACCTCTATCAGTTGCTGAAAATTTAAACAATATGTACCCAAACTTGTTCTTAGCCATTCAGTGCAGTAACATATGAAGAACCACAGAAGAAAAATCCTGGATAGGGTAAGAGGGAAACTGTATAATTAGGAAAACTTCTGGAGAATAAATGTTATAGACAATCATAAGGACAACATAATCTTTCTCTTGAGGACACAATATGGAATTCAATTTCTAGAAAAAGTGTTCAAAGTTCAATTGATATTTTATTTTTCCACAATTTCAGTAAATACCTTTACTTTCTATTCACTCAAATGCAGAAACAATTACCTCAGTAGTTTAAAAAGTCAAATGATCAATTCAGTCACTAAGTATTTTGTCACCTTCTGTTAACGGACAGTCTTCCATAACTTATTTCTTACTCTCAAGCCCCAGGAACTCTGAACTTTCTAGGCAGTTCAGCTACCTGACATGCAGTTTCAGCTCCTGCTCAGGCTCCAGTAAATTATGTTAACATGAAATCATTAGATACAGGGATCTTATGTTGATAGAAGAGGGACCTAGTTTTAGGCATTAGAATGTTTTGCTTCTCAAAAAAGAGGGTAATGCGTATCTTGGTCTTTGCAAATTATCATTCCTATTTATCACCCCTGTAAGAAAGGATTTCTCTCTCTCAAACAACTTTTAATGCTTCACTTCTGTACTTAGATATGATGTACTACCTGGAGCCTTAGTTTATCAGAATACTGTCAGAAATAACTGAATGATACTTAATAAAAACTGAAAACAAAACATACAAATTACTCACATTTTTTACGTCATTTTCATGGTGAAAAATATATTCGAACAATGCCTGTCAGAAGAATATTTTAAACATTGTCATATTCGAAGATAAAAATTGATAATGTTTTAGAAGAATACAAAATCTTGATTATGTTAGGCAGAAATTAATTCTTTGGGAAAGCAATCACATTCACACATCACAACTGCTGACATTTACATTTAATTAAGACTAGAATAGAAAAAACTATAGATGTGCTATGTTGTTATTACAGGAAAGTATTTTAATTCTTAATTTGTTGCAAGAGATTAGTGGAATTGTCTCTTATTGTTAGTCCTTAAAGTAACTTTTTTTTTTAAAAAAAAGGCAGCTTTAATTTGAAAATGAATATATATTTGAAAACTTGGTACCATTTTCTTGACTGTTTAACTATAAAATCAACAAGTAATCTAGCAAAGACTTTTTGCAATGTATAGTTAGGTGCTTATGTAGTCTAAAATCTACTTAAATTAAATTAGGTTTATTAAGAATGTAAGCTGAGCAAATTTTGCCTTAGGGAAAAAAAATTCTAAACCCTACAGAATTTTGGAATCTGTAAAGGAAAATCTTTTTTGTTTGTAAGTGCTAAATGCTAACAATATTGTGCCTCTGAAACTCGAACACACAATCATAATACCAAAGTTTAAAGAAGTTACATGCATCAGCTGTGCTGTGGTAACTGCTCATAAGCCTACAGCAATTGCACGGCAATATAACTGCATCTTTGTTTACTCTTGTATAAAGCTAAGCAAGTCATATTACTTTGTAGCTGTGCTGCACTAGAATATAGAAGAGTATATAACAGGTAATGGCGGTGGCATTTTAAGCAAATAAAATTATGTTGAAAGATAACAGATAACTAAATGGAGACTGGGAGCCTCTGTTCCCAGGAATGTAGTTTGGGAGCTAGTAACACAAAGTTCAATTGAGTTGAACCTTGATCTTTTTCTGCATCCAAATCCCAGGTCTTAATTACTTTAAAAGAACAGAATTTTTTCTAAATTCTTATCATTCGTTATAAAAAAATAAAATAAAATATCGCCCCAAGAGGAAAGAAATAAAGAATGAGACAGCAGTCTTATAAGGCCTTCCACGACTCTTCTGACAGCTTTTCTTAGTCAAAATTCTTAATAGATTTACCTTAAGGAAACTAGAGAATTACTAGTGAATTGTCATGTCTGGGAGGAAAGTAAACCACAACCTACTTTTCTTCTGCTTTTGGTCAGAAAAGACTCCGAACAGATGGTTAAAAGACATTAAGGAATCATAAATAAAAATATATTTACAGGAAGATTAGAATAGGTGGATAACAAAAGAATAGAAAATGAATAAGTAGCGGAACATTCCCTCCCCTAGTTCAACAACATAGAAATGTTCAGTAAAAGTGAGTAAATCTGAAGTGATAAAGAAGATCTTGCATGGCTGGCATGAGGAATTTACTGCTGTTATCTATTGGCTCTGACCTTCAAAAGGATTTAAATGACTGAACATTCACTTGGATAAAAACATCTAGAGTTATCTTAATAACTCCATTAAAAATCCACAAGCTAAAAAAGATAAAACTTCCAGTCTCATGCCATAAACCATCTGCTAACTGAGATTTACCAGAGGTTCTTTCTGGCGACACGTGACACCTCATATGCCTACTATGGGGTTTCCTGCAATATTCCTTAATATGGCTAATACTAGTCAGTGAGAAGCCACATTCCTGTATAATTCAAAACATCAGAAGACCTAGTCATGCAAAGAAAAGATAGATAATCTAACTTAAAAAAACATGTGATAAGTATACTTTGCAAACACATAAGGAAGGAGTATATGGGAGGAGTATATGCCACCATGAATATACAGGCCATTCATGTGAATTTAATAGTTGCAAGATTTATTATCTTTTTGCACCTGGGAGAGATGACAGTCCAAAAAATTTTAAAACTTTAATCAATGATTCTTAACATAAAGTGCAGTCTGCAGCCTCACTTCCTGCTTTGGCTTTAGCCTTAATGGTATCTTGTTGAGAAAAAAAAAATTCCACGTAGCTCCAAATTTAAACTTAGATCTTACATTCTGCGTGAAATGTTAATGTCGTAATATATTAGCTTCATAATACTGACAAGTACACTTTCTTCCTATGGATGTTTCTATGACTGTTACTCTACATTTTTTGGCTTAAACCTCTTTTCATACCAAACTGAAGGAAGATAGAGCTACCCCAATGTCCCAGAAAATGCTAATTAAAACCCAGAATGGTTAAAAATATCGAAGTTTCTCATTCCTGAGACCTGTTTCTGAGAATAAATGTTTCGTCTGTAAGCTAACCTACCTACTTAAATAGTATACTGAGTTACCAAACACAATTAAAAGGTAGCTGTCTTCAAGCAGAAGAACTAAGCCTAGTTTCTTAAGGATGTGTCTTTTGATTCCTAATCCTTCCCAGGTTTCTTTTGTTCTCCCTGTTTTACAGATTGTGATGGATTTAGAATAATGTGTGTGCAGGCTGATTGCCGGCAAGGACATCTGTGATGGATTTAGAATAAATTTAGAATAAATAAATAAATAATCCTGTGTGTGCAGGCTGATTGCCGGCAAGGACATAATTGGACAAAAGCCTGCAGTTTTTTCAGAACTGATAAAGAACTGACTTGTAACTGCCCTCAGATGATAGTGTGGAAGTCTTTAATTATCTTGCCAGACTAGGACTTACTATATTTGATCTATATTCTTCTGCCTGGCTTGGTTAAGAGGCCAAGGGACAGAGATGTAAGGGGCAAGTGAACAACACAGTGCAATCACACAAACTTTATTTCCTTTGAAAAGCAAGGCACTACATCAGTCTAGATAAAGTTTTAAAAAGCAAAGGAATTTGCTAATAGTTTAAGAAAAATTATTAACTAAAGTTTTGGACCGGAGGAGCTAATTTCCATGAGCAGATTATGAGGTACTGCTAGTCTTCTAACAGTGCTCACCACTATGTTTCTCAAAAGAGACTGAATACCTACGGTTCTTTGAGCTCTAGGTTGCTAGCCAAATATGGCTCCTGAGAGTGTGTTTGGTAGTCATTTGATACCTCGAGCAAAATGAGTTGTTGGTCTCAGCCCAATAGTTGTTTTTCATGAACGAAGTATGGTCAGAAAACGTTTCATCTATACAACTAACTAGTTGTGTTGGAGAAAGACTTAACTGAAAGGCCACAGAGTGATAGATCATTACACAACTTTTAGGTCTCTTCACTCAGAGCTGAAACCCATAAGTGGGACAGATACCCTGGATAAACCTGTTCTATTGTCAGATAGTCTCAGTTTCAATGGCTGTCAACCATAAGATCTTAACTGAAAATGAAGAATAATTCTGAACAAAAAGATGGAAACTTTTTATACAAAAAGTGCTAACTCATGCCATAAAATCAAAGGCAAAAATCCCAACAATTTGAACATTTTTAGGCCAGGATTGCCATCTATTTGTACACAGAAATGCATTTCCAGACACTAAGGAGGGTTCTGCTGGTTTTTTTCCTCCTGGCTTTTTTTCAGTTGCTCTTCGTCACTCCTACATGAACAGTTCAAAGTTATTTACCAATGGAGCATTTCATTCTACACAAATGTTTTCTCCTAGGTTACATTTTCAACATAACCTCTTCAGACATATTTTCAATTTCAAGTCTGGTAACCACTGTCAAACAATACGTAACACGCTATTTTTCTGAACTTTACTTCTACAACATAGTTCATCATCGTTTGTATCCCAAATCTCATGTACAGTTACATTAGAACGATGCCAGAAAATAAGAAAAAGATATCACAATATTAACCAAAATACTTACATACCTTTGCCAGTTTGGGTTTTTGAGCATATTTTGCTAAATTCAGTCGAGACAGATTTATGAAAGGGCCATCTGGATTTGTTAGTATTGAAGCCTGAATGGGAGAAAGAAGTTTTTAGGTGGGAA